TCAGGGAAGAAAAATCTTGGAGAGTATGCACTCATCTACAAGTACCTCCCTGCCTTCGATAGTCTCCTCATAACATCGAGGAGGGCTGTGCGCGACGTCTTCAACGGAGCATGCAGGCTGCACCTAGATGGAACCTTCAAGTGCCGGCCGCGAAAGATTTGTGAACAAGTGAGTTGCGTGTGCTGAAGTTCCTTTCTTCAGTGAATCAATTGAACGAGCTCTTCCCTTCTGAAAGGTTCTCCAAATACATGCCGTGCGGAATGGATTTGCTTTTTACGGTGCAAGTGTTCTCATGAAGTCGCGAAGCATGGGTGCCTACAAGGAAGTTCTGGAGGCGCTGATCAACGTTTGCGCGGTAAAAATAACCTAATGTACCTCGACGAGCATTGCCCAAGTTCATCCCAGTCGCCGCGATGGAACCTTTTTGATGAATTCCCCCCAGAGTGAAAGTGTGGTCTTGGAGCCGAATTGCGCAGTAACCGACTACGAAGGCGCTCTACGAGCAGCTCTCGCGGCGGTGTTCGGGTCGGGCGACCGACCATTCAAACGGATCGGATGTTTTTTCACTACACACAAGCACTCCGCAAAAGGGCCAAAACGACTCAGGCTTCGGATCGATTTTCCAAGACCACTTTGCAAATGGCACTGCAGAGTGCGAGCCCTCGCATACATGCCCCCCAATGTGATAAAGAGTCTATTCAGCTGCATTAAGGAGACGGCACCTGCCGAGGTAAAATTTTTGTACGAGAATTCAAGGGGAACATCCAGAGATGCAGTCACATGCGAAGTGAGCTGACTGTGAAAAACAAATAGCTTGAAGAATCTAGCTTTTTTCGGAGAAGAGTTTGTCTCCTGAAGAAATTATTCTCGGGTGCATTGTATTATGATGAGCACCATGTTATGCAAAAGAGAGAGGGCACAAGGTGCGCAGTCTTGTGCCCGTTCTTGAAGCGATGTTCTCAATTATTAATGATGGTTTTTGATTGCAAGTTCGGACCCTTCCTCCGTTACTTCGAGACCCATTGGATGGAAAGAATTGGGCCGGATGACTTTCCATCTTCAACGAACCTGTTCGCACGAATAATATTTGCGAGGGAGGAAACAGCCGCTGGAACGCGGAATTCATCGGTGGCCCGACCCCTCTCGAGTTTCTGAATGTTCTTCGGATGAAAGAGAAACTGACGCGAGTTGCTTTCCTTAGGCACCTCCGTGACATCGCCAGCAGCAAACGTAGAAGGAAGGCGGTACTTAAGGAAGCTTTCATTCAGAGCCAATGGTCGAGATTGCCGAGCGACGACCCAGCCGTCGTTCGACTGGTGAGAACCGTCGCATTGTCTTGTACAATACGTTCCGGACAGGGCTGAACCTACTCTCATGTATTAAAGAAATTGACCGCGCAGGTTTTTGACGCATTTTCCGGAATGCTCTTCAAGGAAGCCGGGAGCTGGCAACAGCGTCCTAGGAGCAATTCGTGCGACTCATGAGCCGCGCGTGGACGACGGAGTGGCTCCTTGGCTTTCTGCGAAACAAGGAGAAGTCGCTAAAAGCATGCAAGACTCATAATTCACGCATTATTCAGTTCCTCTTTTTTCTCCGAGACTATGGAAAAAATACATCAGTTTCAGATGTTTAAGAAGAATATAAATAAGGAGTGTTCCGTCGTTTCCAGTTACGATACATATTTTGCCGATTGATCAGTTTTCCATCCTGAGTGCTCAACGAACATATCTAATGTATTGTATATAATTTCTTGAAGTTCAGTGTTGAATAAAAATCGATCCAGAGCTGAAGAAGTTCTCTGCTTTTGCCCCTTTTCTTTACATATCGATGTACTTTCGAATTCTCATCGCCCGACTTCGATTAGCGACCAAGTCCCACTTTCGGACGTTCTGATCCTTTCTAAAATTCTCTGCTGAAAGTCTACGGCCGAAGCACTACTGCGGGACATTTCGATGTCTATTCAAATTTTTTACTGGAAATCTACGAGCGATGTCCTTCTCTGAGACATTTCGATGCATTCTCGAGTTCTTCGCCGAAAGTCTACGGGCGAAGTCCCACTCCGAATCATTTCGATGCCTTGACGAGTTCTTTGCTGAGAGTCTGCGAGCGAAGTCCCACTCTGGGACATTTCCATGCATTCTCGAGTTCTTCGCTGAAAGTCTCCGGGGGAAGTCCCACTCCGAATCATTTCGATGCCTTGTCGAGTTCTTTGCTGAAGGTCCACGAGCGAAGTCCCACTGTGGAACATTTCGATGCATTCTCGTGTTCTCCGCTGAAAGTCTACGGGCGAAGTCCCACTTCGAATCATTTCGATGCCTTGTCGAGTCCTTTGCTGAAGGTCTACGAGCGAAGTCCCACTCTGGGACATCTCGATGCATTCTCGAGTTCTCCGATGAAAGTCTACGAGCGAAGTCCCACTCTGGGACATTTCGATGCCTTCTCGAATTATTCGCGGAAAGTCTCCGAGCGGAGTCCAACTCTGATCATTCCGACGCCTCCTCTCCCACTTTCTATACCTCCGCCTGATTCAGCACCATCCCGTAGCGCTCAAAATGGGGCAGACATTTCCGGATCAAAAATTGGCTGGAGGGGATGCCATCATCCGCAGGTGGAAGCTTCGTTCATTTCAAGCGGTGGAGAGGCGGAAGCTGCGCGCCCCCGAGCACGATGATGATTCTACTAGCCCTGATGGCTCAGACAGCTCCGTCGATTCATCGAGGATTTCTGATGGGAGGTTGCAGGTTTCGGGTTTTCGTTAATAAAATATAGTAAGATATACCACGTGTTTTCGGAGTGGATACAATGCCTCACAGCGAAGGGGTGCACAAAATACTTCTGTCCACGTAGAATTAGATTCGGCCCCACTGTGGCGTCGATCGGAAAATTCCCCCGTACTGGACAATGAAGGATGAACTCCACGCTGAAGTTGAGCTGCTGCTCCGTGCCTCTCATCTCGTGATGCCATACGAGCTACAGCACAACGACTGTAGATCAGAATGCACGTCACACGAGGCGAATTCACACTCATTCTATCTCGAGGTAGTACAACCTCAGTAGAACGACGGATTGCTCCGAAGGCGGAGGAGCGGTGGCAACGCAGAGCAGAGTCAGAATGGTGCGATCGCCGCGAGATGATAATGATGCATTAAGCTCAGGCTGCGTACCTCTCTCATCGGTGCCCACGTATAGGGCATTCACTGCTCTGAGTATCGGGACAGATATGAGCCAGAGAAGGCGCTGTCTCAAATAGTGGTCGGTCTGGGGTTCCGGGGACTAACGATTGACGCCATGAGAACAAAGAAACGGAAGAAATCGGTGCAGAGTCGCTACGGAGTGGAATCACAGAAAGTCAAGAACTCCGGGAGGAGCGTCACAGAAAACGCGGACTCACATTCAAAAGCCCCGGTCGTTCTAGTTTCCGCTAGCCGATGCATTCGGGCGGCCCTCGATTACATCCAGAGCGAGCTCGTCAAATCTTCAGGTGATTTTATGACGGGGAGCGAATCGGAGGAAGAGAGAAACACGGAAGACGGAAAAAGAAGACGTCAGGTACCAGGGGATGCGGGCTTCAAGGATTCCCGACTGGTCAAGTCACGCTCCGTTGCTCATTCTCTGTGCCTGAGAAGAGGAACCGCTCAGCATTCTTCTCTCGAAGTATTGCGGCCGCCCTAACAGAGGCTGAGGATGTGGGCTGGGACAAACTGGTAGAAGCAGCTCGGAGATGCGGCAGGGCTGATCCTCTCCGCTGCCGACCGGATGTTTTCCGTATCCAATGTGCACTGGACATGCCGTCTTTACAGCCCACTCGAACGTGGGGAGCACAGAGGAATGGGTCTCTCGACGATTGCGAAGCGCTTGCAGCAGGCCGACGTCCTCTTCAACCTCGATGGGCGATCGTTGAGGTGCATCATATGCAAGAACCGCGATGAGTTAGCCCCGCCTGAGACCGGGCTCTAAGACGCTTCCGCTTGAGACGCTCTCTGCAGAATGAGTAACTGAGATGATAGATCTGCAAATTTGATAGACTCAGACCTAATCAACAGGATACCAATAAATCCCCGGCCAAAGTAGCTCATGCCCCATGCTCATCGTTTTCTACTAGGACGTCTTCGCCCATCGGGACTCAGACTCTTCCTGCCTCCACGGAGTCATCCTCCCAACCCTCGGAAACGCTGTTAACGAGAGTGATTTGTTTTACCCTGCCATGGAACGAACAATGACGCACATTCTTCATGACCAAACTGCTCTCGCCTCGCGAGACATCGCATGGTGTCTCGACTTAACACCTCATTCTAAAACGCGTGGCGAGATCGGCTGGTATCAAGGGTGAAAATCTTAAAACATCTAACTCTGAATTTCCCAGATTCGATCCGCAACTTTCCGCGGTTCGAGCGGGATTCGGCCGCGATTTCTTCTACTTTTTCCCTTGACCATTTCACAGCTCCATCAAGGCCCTGGATAATTACTCATCATCAACGAGGGAGCACGAGTTCTGATGAATATCAGTCGGAGACAATCGTGGATAGAGTGGGAAACATCTCATGGCGGAGCAGCCCGCAATCCCCTCACCGGTGGAGCCGGCGAAAGCCTCCCAAGAGCATTCCCCCCCATCGGGTCCATCAACTCTAGATAAGAGCTTGATCGCGAATTCCGTCGAACAGGATCGACCTCCAGGACAGAGACAGTATCTGTGAGGAGAGGCGTAGCACCCGCGGACTTCCACTTCCCAGAAGTGATCATCCTGATGATGGAGTGTCGTCTGCTCATACGTTTACAACACACTAGACCGCAGACCGCACAAAGACGACCACACATATGATGTTTCGGAATCTTCAGAGAACTGCCAGATTGGCCCGTATACCTGCGGCGCTTTTGCTTCCAAGCTTTGTGCACTGATCCAGCCTCCCACAGGTCGAGGTGCCGATGCGGACGAAGTGCTCTCCAATGACATTTCGGAAGATCAATGTGGAATCGAGACAGCGATAATTCTGTCTATCTTTCGAAGCCCTCGACTCTCCACGAAAGTTCACTGACAAGACCAGGATAATTTCCTGTGCCGGCATGGACGACCATTCTACAGATGCTCCTCTCGGATTTCTCAGCGTACGATCGAGGGCTTTGACACGTCAATCCATATTCATGAGTTCAGGATAGAGCGCTCTCGGGAACTCGACCCAAGAGTCATGACTGATGTGGGCTGTACTCTGAAGGGAAGCAAACTCACACACTGACGAGAGTTCCTCACGGGCGGATCCGAGTCACGCTGTGCCGCGATCATGAGCTGTCAAGGTAAAGTCCGCAGGGTGGGTGGGGGGTAAGAAGAGGAGTCATAGGGAAGAGGAAAGCTTTCCGTCGTAACAGCAAAACGGGTGCCTCACCGGAGGTCACAAACATGTGGCTGCGAATCCCTAACGTCTCAGGGCTCTGACTAATTCACTAACATGGGCTTTTAAGGCAAATGGTTCCGTCTATCGGTTATCCCGAGTCGATAAATCATCTCCCGTTCGGAGCTCCAGGCGGGGGAAAACTCAGCTGTCAATCAAATTGCAAGTTCCCCCGGATTCTGAGTGACTCGAAAAAAAGGAATTCGGAGACATCGCAGGATGTCGTCCCGCAAGCTCAACGATCCTGCTGCTCCAATGTATAGAAGGAACTACAGAACACACCTCGCACTTGAGCCCTCAGAAGAAACTTGTTCAATCAATGAAGAAGTGCAATGCGTCGGCTCTGATTCTGGCAGCAACGCTATCACAGGAGATGATCAAGTCCCTCTGCTCACGGTCACACCTGAGACTTCGTCAACGTTGACTGAGATCCCAATCGATCACTACCACTTTGTGAAATACGCTTTTCTGCTACTCGGGGTAGTGACTCTGTTACCATGGAACTTTTCCATCAATGCATCCAAGGTAAATCACAAGAGCTCGGTCGACTATTTCGGCGGGCTCGTCGGGCTCTTCATGATTCCGTTCATCAGCCCGGTATGAAACCATGATCCTCTTTCCAGTATTGGATGTTCAAACTTCGGGATGCTCAGTCTTACGGATCGCACCAGCATTCGGAGCACAAAACTAAGCTCCAAGCGGAATTCTTCTCCATGACATCGATCGTGTCAAGCGTGCCGTGTCTAATTGTACTGTACTTTAGCGCAATCATGAATAAGAGTGTTCCTCAGGGAGTGCGAAACATAGGCGCCTTGGCGGTAGTCACGATTCTGTTTGCCACGGTCACCATTTTCGTCCTGATCGACACCGACGGCTGTGAGTACTCATCCAGCCTAGCTCCTAATGTGTAGCTCGGTCAGATAAGGAATCTACCCTGGACTTCGTGTTGAGCTTTGAGTAATTTGAGAAGCTTTTGATTGCGCTTTCCAGGGCAGCATGGATTCTACAGGCTGACGCTCGAGCAGATGTTCCTCATCTCTTGTTTCGGAGCTTGGTACCAGAGTGGTGTGATGGGTCTGGCGGCGATCTTCCCCCACGAATACACCCATCTGTGTATAATCGGTCAGAGCTTCGGAGGAGTTTTAGCCTCGGTCGTAGAGATAATCGTGTTGTTATCAGGAGCGTCAACTGCTGCTTCAGCTTTGATATACTTTGTCTTTGCTCTCTTTATTCTGATAAGTAGCGTTGTTGTCATTTCGGTGATTCAAACGATCAGCTTCTTCAAGTTCTACGTTAGTCGAGCGATTTCTCAAACAAACTCGGTGAGCTCCTCCGACGAATCGTTCAATGTCAAAGTTCGGACATACTTGTTGGTCCGGAAAACCTGGCGCTTCTCTGTGGCTCTCATGCTTATCTATATCGCGACCTTCGGGGTGTTCCCGGGCGTTCTTGTTCACGTTGAGCCCTTGGACACTGATGATGCTATTTGGGGGAATCTTTTCTCACCCGTTTCTTGCTTTCTTGTTTTCAATAGCGGTGATTTCTGTGGCCGACTTCTCTGCTCGCGTTTCGGATTCCCAGCGGAACGCGAGTCACTATTTCTTGGAATATCATTTATCCGTCTATTGCTGACGCCTCTCTTGTTGCTATGTAACATAGTTCCTCGCGTTCCGTACTTACCAATACTTTTTCGGGCAGATTTCTCCTTCGTCGTCTTGAATGCTCTATTCGCCCTGTCGAACGGCTACCTGACATCGGTGGCAATGATGTACGCTCCGAAAAGAGTGGATTTCTTCTTACGCGAGCGAGTGGGGACAATTATGGTCTTCGCTCTCGTCAGCGGAATGAGTTTGGGAAGCATTCTGTCCCTGGTGATCATAAAGCTATTCTTCCCCGTAAGCACATAGAGGATCGTACGGGATCTTCCCTCGAATCGTCTGTTATTAGGTTATTATTCCTCCCGCCCAGGAAACGCGGAGAGACAATCATGCCTTCTCCGCAAGCCTGGTACCTTCGATTACCCAGTCTGAGAAGGCACGCGCACAATCCGGCGACTCCTCGCGGCTGATCGGAAGTGCTAACCATATGTGAATTTCCTGCCTCAGCGGATGTGGCATGATTGTCCCGTTGGAATGAAATAATAATTTCGGATTTGTCCCACGAGGACCTTGACAACAGAAGTGAACTTTTTATTGTGTCTCGATTCCCCGCTAAGCTCGGGAAACCCAATGATAGAGCAGCACTCGCCTTTCCATCAGACACATCGACCCTATCGGTGCGAGATTCTCTCGACTCTCGCGTCATAACTTGGGAATCGTCGAGAAACGGGAGCTCAGAAGAGAGGCCCTTCTTCTATGAGGAGTCTCTGCGCCGGAACGTCGTCACGATGCTGGAGGCGACCTAGCGACTCTTGGACACTTGGTGATTCCCCTTCCGGAAGTTTGGCGAACGAGGGCTCGAACGCGGTTCGGGTCGGCCAGAGGATCGTCAGCTCAAAGCTCAATCGTGCAGGAGGCAGAATCCCGCCTGATGCAGAACCTTGCGCCCGGCAAACCTTTGCTGCTTCTTGGCTGAAGTTTAAGGAATCGGCAGTCGGAGCATCCAATGTTGTGCTTTCAGTGGAGGGAAGACATGATTACAGTCAATCCGGAAACACGCTCTTCTCGATGAGAGCGGATTCCTTGAACTCCACCGTCGATTTGTGAAGGAATGAGTAGGCAGCAATCATTTCTATCAATTTATTGATTATATAAATTTAGTAGGAGGCACATAACAAAGTATCGGCGGATGTGAGCAGAAGTTTCGCGATTTGATGGATTCGTAGCTTCTGACGGCCCTCCGCATCCGATCAGATTCCTTCGCGACATTCCGGTTTGCAGATATACGATCAAATAATCAATATTCTTCCCTCGCCGTGAGAAGACTTTCGGTGGGCGATGATCTTCGCAAAACCGGTATAATAAATAGTTTTCGCGCCTCTGTCGCCTCTGCCTAGCATCAGATTCGAGGATCATTAGCATCTCACTAAGTTTTGTGCTGCTCTTATAAGTTCTCGAGTCGTTGTCGAATGATGGTTACACTGGTGAGACATCCGAATAGCGTCCCCCGTAGCGGATTTTCAAGATCGATCCCTCAATCAGCAGTGATTAGCCGAAGAGCGAAGTCGACGAGGACGAGCAACCCTTTTCCTCCGACCGTAAGGCCGCAGCTTCTTGCGAAGCGGAGTGCATGATGCGGACAGGGTCAACCTGGGAGACTCGGACTCCGATGCGAACTCACTCAAAACCCATGGAGCGCCCCCGAGCCAAACATCAGCCATTCCAACTGCTCAGCCTCGACCCTCAATCAGGGGAGCCGGCGAGAATGGAAGTTCAGGTGAACGCTCCCCCATACCCATCTTCGAAAAACAAGGAAACGCGCGAGTAGTACGGCTCTGTCTTGTAAGACAACGAGCCTTCAATCATTCGAGTTCACTCCGTCTGATAACACCGTCCAGGAAATCGTCCACTAGCGTGTTCTGGCACTGACTGAGCAGAACATTACCATGATTCCCTCACGATCGAAAACAACGTATGATTGAAACTTCAGCGGAAAATCTGAACTGCCTACTAACGATAACAATGAGAGTGACTGCAATAGCTGTCTTCCTAAGCGAACGCGAGCAGTCACCTTTCCAATTCGGCATCTAGCACTCCATGGCAGCGTTGACGAAATTTTCGAATTCCTTTTTGTGGATGTATTTGCTACCGGTGGCGGTCGAAGGAGATACGCCTCGTCCGACATAGAAGGCAGGTCTCTGGTATCCAGTCGAGATATTAATACGCGGTTGCACGAAAGCCCAACAGCCCTTGAAGAAAGAGACCGAGTTATGGAATGCGGAGAAGGCGGGGGAAATTTCCGGGGAATTGTACTGGGCCAACGAGCGAGCCGAATAGCTGCCTCACCTGATTCTTGTGTTCTTCTTGAACCCATTGGATTTTCGCATTCGGATATTTGTCGATCTCGTTCTTGATGAGATCGAATGGGAAGGGGCAAACTTGCTCCACGCGGACCAAAGCGATGTCAGACTCCTTATTACGGTCAGCCCGAGACTTCTTCAGATCGTAGTAGACTTTTCCCGTGCAGAAGAGGAGTTTCTGCACGTTCGCGGGGTTGCTTTCAGCAGCTCCGTTGTCCGGGATTACTCGCTTGAAGTTTGTCCCTTCAACCATGTCATCCAAGCTGCTCTTGGCTTCTGGGTGGCGGAGGAGACTCTTCGGTGTGAAAACAATCAACGGCTTGCGGAATGGAAGGACGATTTGACGCCGCATAGCATGGAAGTAGTTCGCCGGCGTGGTGCAATTCACAACAATCATGTTACAATCATGTAGTTGTTTCATCGAGAAGTCAGGACTCGAGGCATCATCCGGGAAATGATCAGGCTCCTCCGAGCAGAGCTGAAGGAATCTTTCTGGTCGTGCGGAGGAGTGCTCGGGACCCATGCCTTCCATCCCATGAGGGAGCATCATCACGAGGCCTGGCAAATGTTTTAGCGGTTCTTATAGGTTTATAGGTGCTTCAGGGCCAGCTGCCATCATCGATTTCGATTGCTCGATTCATCTTAATGCGAATATTTACCAGATTGTCTGACCCATTTGGCTTGTCCAGACGAGATGAATTGGTCTATTATGCACTGGGCTGTATTCATGAAGTCACCGAATTGCGCCTCCCACATCACCAACGCATTGGGATTGGTCATCGAGAATCCGAGTTCGAATCCGAGAATACCGTATTCGGATAGACTGGAATTGCACACTGTGTACGGTGCTTGGTCAGGCCATAGATGACAGAGCGGTCTGCGGATAGGGAAACGCTGCTGAATCTCAGAAGGTCGGGTGTGAGGCATCGTAAGCATTCGGACGGAAGAACAAGTTCTTGAGTTCTTTCGGACGACGGGAATTGTTTGTCTATCGGAGACTGTCATCATGGATGTTTATCGGAGAAAGACGCCTCCAGTGAAATGCATGCATCTTGCCGAAGGCATAGCCTCGGCGAGCCTTGTCGTTTAACTCCAGAATAGCACACCTGAAGATTTCTATTCGCTACCACCACAGTCGCTGCGGCGATGGGAAAACTGATTGCTTACCTGTAAGTGGTTTTATCGATCGTCTGATGGTGGAGTACGTGGTGGCGATGGGAGAAGGTTCCTCGTTCAACGTCCTGACCGGAGAGGCGCACGTGAATCCCCTCTTTCAGGAGTGAGCCGAAGGCCATGGCCTCACCCAGAGCCCAATCGATGGATCTTGATTCAACCATGTCCATGCGAGCTTTGAGAATCCTCTTAATACCGGGATGGATTGCGAAGTTACCTGCAGAGCTCCCCAATTGTTAGACTCTTGCGGGAGCCTGGAAAGGAACGCTCTCTCGAAATCTGAAGCTCCAATTCACGAAATCTCACCAGGGGGAGGCGATGAGAAGACCGTCCCGATGTGTTTCAGTGTTTCCTCAGAAACTCCAGTGGGATCACACTTCGAGGGTGAACGATCACCGAAGAATCCACTCCAAGGGGAATCTAGCCAATCGCGATTTCTTGTCTCGGTCTCCTTCTGAGCATTCGTGTAGGCCTGCGACAGAATCGATCTTGCTTCTAGTCGGCGTAAGCCATTGAGCACCGGAATACAGCTCGTTTCGGGGCTCCTGGCCCCAGGGAATGCTCGAAAGACATAAAGTTTACCTCCTGTAGGATGCCTTCGTAGCGTTGTTTTTCCTCTTCAAGAGTTTGCTCGGTGACAACACCTTCGTCTACCAGCTTCTTTGTGTAAAGATCGAGAGTCCCTTTGTGCTTCCGTATTTTTTGGTACATCAAGGGCTGAGTGAACATCGGTTCATCCACCTCATTGTGGCCATTTCTGCGGTAACTGACGAGATCGATGACGCAGTCTTTTTCGAACTTGGCTCTCCATTCAGCAGCGACGTTACACACGTGCATTACTGCTTCGGGGTCGTCGGCATTGACGTGGAAAATTGGCGCATTCACGACGCGGGCAACGTCAGTGCAATATGGAGAGGATCTAGAGGATCGAGGATCAGTGGTGAATCCGATCTGATTATTCACCACAACGTGGATGGTGCCATGAGTTTTGTAGTCTGGCAGCTCGGACATGTGGAACGTTTCATAGACGATACCCTGCCCAGAAAAAGCGGCATCTCCGTGAAGAATCATACCCATGACTTTTTTGCCTTGGGTATCTCCGCGGTAGAATTGCTCGGCACGAACTTTCCCCAAGACAACGGGATCCACGGCTTCCAAATGAGAGGGATTGGCCACAACGGAGAGCTTCATGTTGCGATTCGATTGCCGGTTCAGACGTTCATGACTCATTCCCAGGTGGTACTTGACATCGCCGGAACCCTCGTCAGCAGGCGTGAGCGACGAGAATTGAGTGAAGATAATCTCCAGGGGTTTTCGGCACACATTCGCTAGAACGTTGAGCCGGCCCCTATGGGGCATCCCCATCACGATGGAATCGACGCCGAGCTCAGAAGAACGATCTATGACGGTTTTCATAGCGGGAATCAGAGTTTCGCAGCCTTCGAGCCCGAAGCGTTTTTCTGACACCCATTTCTTTGCCAAGAATTCCTCGAATTTGGTGGAACGTAAGAGCCGTTTCATCAGGAGTTTCTTCTTATCCGCGTTCAGGTTCATGACACCTAAACAGATTGAATTGAATAATAATCAATAAGTTTCAGAGTATTGCGGTGATATCAAGAGTACGGAAACTGCCTAATCGTGATAGCTCACCCGGTGTCTCGAATTTTTCGCGGATCCAATTGCATTGATCGAGGTCGTTGATGAACATATACTCAACACCGATCGATCCGCAATAGACGTTTTCAAGACGACGCAGAATCTCGCGGAGCGGTAGCACACCCTCGCTACCCCCGATGTAGGTTGTGGATGGCAGTTTGAACATTCGGTCCATGTCTTTCTCGTCTGAGAATGTAGGAAGAGGAAGTTCAACCGATGCAAGAAGAGCGACATAGTGATGCTGAGACGGACAGATTTGCCTGACTTGCTAAGCTCGATCGACTTATTGTTCGTGTCATTCAATGCTTCGTGAGCCGAGTGGAAGTGGCGCAGGGCATGCCGAATCAAGTCCATAAGTAGACAGAGATGAATGATTCTCAAGAGGTGAACTCTCGATCGAAGTGGGAACAAGGAGCATCGGAACGCGGAGAAGTTTTCGCAGGGAGAGCATCTTAGAAGAGCATTCATGTATAAGCCCAGAAGAACGGACGGCGCCGTTATCTCGTTTGTTCCTCAGGCAGAAACGATCGGAGTAGATGAGGAACCGATTGGAAAAATTACGGTAAGATCTTCAAAAATCAATGACGTTGATTCCTGGCAGGTCGTGAGAATCTCGAAGATTCCACAACGGCGTGATTGCCTACGAAGTCATCATCGGAAAATACACTCGCATCCGAACAATCCGTCAACGTACCGAAGCTGGCCCTGTATCGAGCCACATCCCCGGGGCTGCGCTCCAAGTTGCTGATCCGCAATGGATCCAAATCGGCGTAAAAGTGGCCTCGAATCTTAATTCACATCAGACAAGAGCAGCGGGTATCGGGAGATATGTCGCAAACGGTAGCCAATGTAGCGGAAGTGGTTGCATAGGAGTCAGAGACGTTGTTTGAGGGGAGTGATGGCGATGAAACCGAGAGATCGGAGTTGCGTTGAGGATTCAAGCCCATTGATTGGCGGGTCGCGTTCATGAGGGGATCGGTTATAAGCGACATAGATGATCGGAGAGAGGTTAGGTTCGGTGGCGGGCACGGGGAGGCAGCGTGAAAGAACATCGATTGTTAGCAAACTCGGACTCAAAGAACTCCCTATCGGAGTTTCGCATACCCAATTTGGAGTCCCGCAGAACAGATTCGGGCTCCTTGAGTCCATTGGGACCCACGGTGTATTGCGGCAGGATGCCTAAAGGATCCAAGTTGGCGGCAAAGTGTCCCCGTACCTGGGATAAATTTTCCGAGTATACATATGCCCGCGATCCTCTTATATTGGAAGTTTTACTGGTGCAGAATCAAAGGCTGCTCCGAAGAGTCCGCTTTCTTCATGCCCTTATGTCTTTACCTGGTAAGAACGAATGATGGCCTGAACGGAGAGATGATCTTCTATATCTCGCGGAGCGGCATGCGTTGTCGGTATCACTGCAGGCTGCGTCGGAGCAAGGTGAGTCGGACTCGAACTCAATGACGGAGGTGCTGTGTAAGCTTGTCCCGGATCCTTGCCGGCTGCAGCGGCGCGGAAGAAGACATCCCAAGACTTAAGGGGAATTAAGGAAATGAGCTCGGGCGAAACTTTTGTCTGAGCGATCAGGAAGCCACCAGAGGGCAAGGAAAGATCTCCAATCACAATGGAGACATGAATCTCGGTAGCCGCACGGATCGCGGACATTTGCAAGGTAGACAGAGACCTTCCCTGGCGGCATTCTGCACTGAGCTAGCATCTTCCGCAGATTTGCTCGCTAATATTCGGTTACGTCATAGAGCGGACACTTGTTCGGCTTTGCGCCGCCGACTTCTCACTCTGAAGCATTTTGCTTCAGCGGAACAAAATTATCGCGCAGGTTACGAGGGAAAGCTGCGCTCGAAAAAGCCAGGAGAGATTCCATTCCATGTATCCAGAGTGGCTCCATTGACGATTCCCGTTGGACAAGGAGCTCTTACCTTGTGAACAGACTTGGGATCGTCTTTCCAAGCCTTGAACATTTCTTCGACATAGACGCTGCTATTCCCATTCAGGAAAGGTTCTTGGGCCGCTTTTGTCATGTATGATGTTCGCCGCTGGATATTGTAGCCGAACCTCCCTGAGTTCAGCGAGGCCACCACGGCATTCGTCGGCGCTGCCCGCGACCTGGAGGCTGAGGCGGCCCTCAAAGCGGGAGTCAGAGTCCGTATCATGGTGCGAGCTCGATCCATTCCTGGTGCCTCGGCTTCCCGCCCTGATAGTAGACAGAAGCACAGTAGTTTAAGGAACTCTCCGGCCTTCTCACTTCCGCGACTGTGAGCCAACAGCCGGTCGGATATTTTCTCCTCTTCGTTGACCCTTCCGTGTCGAACGGAACGGCCAGGACGTCTGCCAGCTCCGAGCTTTAAGATTAAAGCGCGGAACGGAAGGGATGCCCGCGGGAATCGCAAGAGCTCTAGCCTCTCTCGCACAAACGTCAGGTGACGAACTTTGGGGGATTCAGGGACGAGACTGTAGATGGCCGAAAGAATGGACGGAGAATGAGACGGATCTCAGATATTAACAACTGTCGCTGGCTCGTCGGACGCGCTGCGCTGCTCAGGGGCGGAGAGGAATCCGTCGATCCAGAGCAGAAATTATTGTCTCATGTCAGCCACACGTCGTATGGACGACCTCTGCGAGCATGCATGTGTCTTCCTTTCTTCCGCTTGTCTGTACCTTTCTCATTTTGGATCAATGAGCCTCAGTCTCCCACGCTTCGGTTGAGTCGACCACGACCGGAAAAGCCTCTACGAGCCGCCGAGCCGCGGCTATCCTGAAGGTATAGCCGTCTGGACGGAGAACTACGGATGTCGCCGCTTCCTGGCGTTCGCGAGAATAACATGCTGAGTCGTGCGAAACCTGAAATCCTGTTTCATCGATCCTGCAGGGAATTCCGCCCACTCAGCCAGGGAACTGATTGGGATAGTGTTATCCCAGAGAGTTCCCAGGAGAGACCATTCCCGTTTATGCGAGAAACTTTGTCACCGGAATCCCGCACGGAGAGCTCCAATCTCTGCTTGACACTCGCAGCTTGTTTCGGCATTTTCCCCGAAATCATGGCGTCGGTGTCCCTTTCGTCCTGTCGACTTTTGGTCTATGAGGTGGAACGACGGTACGAGATGCATCTGCTGGGGACTTTCTATTCGCCCTCTCCCCTGTGGTTCCCTTGTTTCGTATCTGACTTCCCTCTTCGATTCCCATGTCTCTCGTGTACCCTCCCCTCTCTTTCCGGTAATCCCGCGACTCTCTCTCATTCGATTACTGGGCTGTGGTGACATATTATTGAAGAATGGTTCGATAAGTACAGTAGCGATCGAAAGTATGACGCCGGCGATGATGTCGCTTAATTTCCGAGCGAGTATCATGTTCATGAGCCTCCCCTAGAATGGTTCCGCGAATTTACGTGTAGATACTTCATATTATATATTTTATTATTAGGCACGAGACCAAGTCCCGTCAGAACAAATGCGCTTCTCCCTCTCAACGATTGAGTTTTCGGGTGCGGGGATAATCGTTTTGAAACAACCCGATTTGAATGATCATCCAAGGAGCTCAGGCGGAGCTTTCCCCGAATCATCGCTGTTCGGAATTCTTTTTCTGCGATGGATGGATGGGGTTCTGCTCTAAGCGGATTAGCCTCGTTTCCATATTTTGTATCTTGCATTTCATCTGCTTCTCGAGCTCGTCCAGGCGATCCGACATATTGGCCATCAGGGCGATCAGCTTTGTCGTCGAGCTACCCGCGGACAAGAGCTGAGGTTTCTGCGAATATTTCCAGAGCAAAATGAGAGTGCGATCAGCAAGGGCTCCTTTCCTCAACGGAGACTCCCTCCTTCAGGAATGTTCTCGCCTGATGACGCGTCGGCGAATCAATAAGCTTGAGCCTCACCTCATCATCGGGAACCTCTTCCTGAATGACGTCTACGGAAATGCTCTTTGGCATGATTGATTTTCTTGCCATCGTCATTCTCCGCTTCGATTTTTTCTGCGAGCCGGTTTGCCCTTCGTCTGGAGTATCCTTTCTATTGGCGTTCTCGATAGTCTCCGCGAGCTGTTTGCTGTAATCTATTTCGTTCTCCTTTGAATCTTCGCTTAACCGAGCGCCCGATTTGCGGTCTTCATTGTCCAGCAGCTTCGTGAGGCATGTATTGAAAATATTCAACTTGCGATTCCTGCCCGGGAGACACAGGTAATCTGAGGTGTCGAACTCATTCGACGGCGGCTGGCAAGGCTAGAAAATCGCGTTGGTGCATTAGATAGTGACTATCGAGAAGAGTGCGCTTTGAGCCTGGCGAAACCATGAGTCTGCGAGCAAAATGATGTTACCGTTAGGAATGTCGCCGATTTCAGGGGAATCTTCATTGTGAATGTTGTTAGCGTAATTCCATTCACTAGATCAATGACGGTCGAGCACTGATCTGTCTCCGAGCAAGTTGCTGCAAACTGACCCGACGAATGCACCGACAGATCTCTGATCGGATTCTCATACAATTGATAGCAGCAGATGGACTTCTTAGTCCTTGCGTCATAGACGCGAAGACTGTTGTCCCTGTGCCCCACCACAACATGACCGCCCGGCAAGTAAGATATCGCCGAAGCTCCGCTGAAATGGCGCAAGTATTCGAATTATTGTGTCTTTTGTTTCCTCCGGACTCACCCTACTCTGCAAACATTCTCTAATTCCTACCCGCCGGTGTTCGTCAAGCTCGCTATTGGATTTTGGCTTCGAGCATCCCATTCGATGATTTCACGATCGTCGGCTGCGGATAGGAATTGAGAGCCCTCCCACGAGTAGGCTAACTGCCTGACCGCGTTGGTGTGCTTCCTGAATTGACCCAGCAGTTTTTGACCGCAGATGTTCCACATTTTGATCACTTTGTCAGCTCCGGCCGAGATGAAATGCGCTCCTCGTGGATCCACATCAAGGGCGAAGACAGGTGAATGATGAGCGTGGAGATGCCGATTGAACATAACGGGAGTGATACCTCTGCGAAATGTCCTGCAAAGTAGATACGTTGAATCCGGATAGCTGCAAGGCCGAGGGGGAATCCCGAGCGGGGAAGCCAACATTCTCAGGGTCTATTGACCAATGCCGATCATACCTGTTCAACTTGAAAGCCGAGATTTCTCCGGACAAGGTCGCCACAACTAAAAGGTCCTCTTTCGCAAACCGCAGCTCAGATATGTCTTTGCCTTGAATCGGGAAGTTCACGTTCAAGGAATCATCGAAGTCATGGATATAGACCGTACGCTCCCGGCCGCATAGAGCTGAAAAGGAATCGGAGTTCGAAAGAGGCTCCAAACAGAGTTTTACAAAAATTCGATGCCGCTTCCAGGGTGCATACGGATGAGGAAAGTCGCGTGAACACGCGGGACTCCTGACGAAGCTAGGACTTCCTGTGGGAGCGGTGCGCGATTAGCTTCACTGCTCCCGATGGAAGTAGAACTCAATAATACAGGATTCGCAGATCGGAAGAATATTCCATGCTGCCCTTCCGGCTGAGTGCTGTGCTGAGGGGAGGCATCAACTTCCCCCTGAATCTCCTCCTGAAGTATTACTCCCTCCCCACCCTCAGCATGATCGACGTCACATGAGCCGAAGTGTTACGTATGTCAGAGGTGTCTCTCTCATTTTGAGCATGACACCCGCGCGTGATAGACTCTGACGACAGATAGCTCGCTTTTTTGGGTGATGCCTATGTTCCGGACGACACGTCAGGACATGTCCTGTGGAGCCCGTATCTTCAGCACACTGATCGACCGACGCTAACCCAGAGAAGGCGCCTTCGGCTACGACTTCCTCGTCATCGGATATCATTGAGAAAGGGAGGACAGAGAGAATACAGAACGAATCATGCAGTCTCTCTGTGAGAACAGCTGATGGTCTCCCGAAGGACGCCCGTGATGATGATCACCATACTCACCGAGTCTGTTGGACCCATTCCAAGACATCCGTGTGATTCCGGTGGATCCTGGAGCAATTGTCATGTGGAGGTAGGGTTGCTAGAAAGCGGAATATGAACAAAGATATTGATGTCTCCCACAGGAACGGGTAGCCGTTGGAAGGTTCCATCTATCGCATCTCACCCAATCTTCCGTTGCGTCATCGATCTCCATCTTGCCCGTCTTTAGTGTACAATGTGATGAAGGGCGCGATTCACGACGAGGTTCTCGGCCTACCGGAGAACACAATCGTCTTCACTGTAAAACTCCAAGCGACTCGTGTATATGTATCTTTCGCTACATCGAGCGAAATCGCGCCGCAGAGTGGCGTCGTCCCAGAATGACGCTCTTTTACGGGTGTGTGCTGATTCGGCGCGCGGAGAAAACAAAAAAGACCCCGAGTGCTAGTTTAGATCAGATGCTCGGATGCTCTTCGGATCTCCGGGAGGGTCTGTGACTGTAGGCCTCGAAGAGCTCTTCCTTGGGGAACACTTCCCGGGCTCACGAAGGCACGCACCGCTCCGAATCGCCCGCAAGTGGTCTCCAACTTCCTACTTGACACCGGGTCGATCCAGTATCGTAGTGAGCATGAACGCCGCAGCTACTCGGGAGTTTCTGAAACGAACTATCAAAACAACGAGTGTGCTTCTTCTATCGAAAGCGGATTGCCCCCGATGTCAGAAAGTGGAGTCTCTCTTCAATCACTACCAGGTGATACGGGCAATAACCTGAAAAGCAGTCAATATCGCCTTCTCCATATTTGTATGATTCGAAAGTCGGACATTCTGTCCATTCTCCTGCAGACTAAGCCGAAGATCGTGCACGTCGACTCGCGATATGATGAACAATTGATCTACGACTCGATCAGGGTACGTCAATCTTTTCCTCGATTGAACATTCTCCCGAGGTGAATCGATGGGGATGGATCTGTGAGACAAACACTCCTGCCAAAAGTCGATGCATTTGTGCAAAATAGGAACGAACCGGGGGAAGATGCCTCCGGGAGCCGAGAGCATCCCACTGGGGCTCGTAAATGTTAATAGTGAACACTGTCGTTCGAGGCAGCGTGAATCTGTCCATTTGTCCTCGAGCTCGGCTCATGATAAAAAGGAGGATGTCTTCTTCCAGAGAATGACGGGCTCCTCAGATCTTCCGAAATTGTTCATCGGAGGATCGTTCTTCGGAAGCTCAGAGGAGATTGAAGCCCTTCACAAGGAAGGGGTTCTGTCGGATCTCGTGACCAAAGCTAGCGCTTATTCCGTCAAGCACGTCCTCGTGTGATTTTGAGTGATTCTACGTTATTCTCGCTGTATCGATCGACGCTCCGGCGGCTGTCGCGGAGCACTGCTCAACTATTGCCCTTGCACTCCGTCAACCCTTCCGAATCGCCGGGCGGGTGGGACTGCTGCGGAGCCTCGGTTTCCTGCTCCCTGTCGATCGCTTGAGCTGATGATTCCTGCGGAGCACCGGTTCCTCCAACCCCTGATGCCCAACTTCGAAGATTAAATCCAATCGTACTCCTCCATTTGTCATTGACTCGTTGCTCTGGGCTTTCCTTCGATCTCTTCCTGGTCGAGGCTCTGAGAGGAAGCTGGATTCATTATATGTACGTATGGTTGTTGTTCCCATTCAGCTGTGCCGTTCTCCCATTTCGGTGCTTACACTTCCGGGGGCCTTCTCCTGAGCTTTCTCCTAGCTCGGGATAGCGAGCTCGACCTCTGCTGCTCATGATCATTCTAAACATCTCGACCACTCATCGCTTCGACGCCACCGCAGAACGGAACGTTTTTTCAATTCTCTTCGATTTGGAGGCCAGACCAAGTTGCCATCTATGTTTAGGCCTTCGATCGCATCTCTGGACGATGGCTGATGTGACGCTCCTCCCGTCGCTACCCTCGGACCAGACCCGGGGGGAACGTCAGTCACGTATTCTCAGCGCGGAACTCCCGATTGCCCCATGATTTTCGGCGATTGAGTGCGATATAGCACCTTGAGTTGGTCTACAAATAGTTGAGTCCCAAAATGTAGAATATTCATCAAATTAGAATGACACCCGGATGGCCGAGCTTTTCCACCCGTCCGATTTTCTTCCTCCTCAATAGTGTCCTAATATGACATGTGAGTTCTGTGTGAAGCGGCGCCACGATCTCTCTCCTGTATCTCGGAGATAAGGTCGCTGAGCTGAGCAAGTAGTGCTAGCACAATCTATCGTATCCCGCCTCGATCAAACGACGGATCCGTACAATAAGAAGGGGACCAATGAGAACTCTCTCGGCCCTGTGTTTCTACATCTGCTGTGTCCTGCTAGTTGTGATGAGTGCGGTCCCGTCGAGCGACGCGAGCGCTTGTTACACGCGATTCATGGTTCGTCTGTCGTATCTCTCGTTGGAATGAGACGGCTATCATCGTCCAGGATCGATCTTTTCCTTCTGTTGCAGAGTTGTCGCTACGATTATCAGTGTTGCTCCAGAAAGTGCGGCGGCAACGTCCAGGTGACAGTTTGTCTCTGAAACCTCCCCTCGGCCGAAGGATGGACGGGAAAAATGCATCAATAAATGTGACTTTTGGTCTGAACTGATATTTTCGGAGATCTCCCCCTAATGCACTGTTATGCGAGTTTCCATCGAGGGTATTCGAACCACGGTCTGTCCAATGTCCAATGCTCCGATTACAACGGGACCCATAGGAGGGGCAGACAGGCAACATGGAAGGAGTGAACTCTGATGCTAATACCATCGATCGATCGCCTTAGACGTGGATTCGGAGGTCGATTCGACGCCGTTTCGCATGCATTAATCGTGCCTCGTCCCAGATCTGATTGCGCAATCGGTAGATATCATCTCTCAGCTGCCAGGGGAAGAGCGACCAATGATTCGCTCCCAGAGTATGCAGTGGCGTACGGAGGATTTTCCACAGGGGGGGAGGAGAAAAGGAGGGGGGCGGATCTTCGCATAGGGCTGGGATCTGATACGGCGCTTCATATCATCTGGGAGAGGGCTAAAAGCCCCTGAGCACCCAATCCCCCTTATCCTGCGCACGTTCCCTGGGAGGATGTTCTGAAACAAGGTAGAAACATCTGCCTTCTCGAGTCAAGTATGAGCTCGTCTGCGTGAGATCTGTTGAGGCATCAGCAAGGAGCCACTCGACCTACGACCCACGATGCCGACGCGGTCGGAGTGAATCTATTGCATCGTGAGCTCCATCGTCCGCTTCGAGAGGTGCACCCTAGGACGGGTTTTCGAAAACTTCGCGAAGATCAATGGAGAAGTCACATGAAGTCCAATATCCCGCAGCGTCAGTTCATTCCAACATCAGAGATGTCAATCATCATATTTTATATTTGAATAATCTTTCTTTCAAAAAAGGATTCGTATAGAATCCACAAGTCATCCAATCGGAAAAATTGATGGAAGTTCCGGTATGAATCCGATGATGGAGCAGCTGGAGTTCATTTGTGCTGTGACTGATGCGGTATCTGCGGGTTTTGTTCGTAGTACCGAGAGCATTGCTGTTTCCAGTTCGCCATCTGTTGTTGATATTGCTGCGCGGCGCTATATTGGCTCCCCGGGGCAGCCGCTACGGTCTGCTGCGATCCTATACGAAGGAAAATCTAGCTGTAGCTGGGCGATAGGTAGTGGTGAAAGATTTCTCGGTCAGCGAAAAGGATTTAGACGTTGCCATTAAGACAGACCTGCTGGCCGCTGTTGCCACTGCTGCCAATAAGTCCACTGGTTCCGTTGATTCGCCTGGAGTTGCGTAGCCTGATATGGTTTCTGGGTTTCAGCTGGCGAGCTGTCCGATACCGCAGGTCCCGGAGCAGGAGTCGTCAACCACTGATTCTGGTTGTGACCCTTCCATTGCTCAGCCTGTAATGTCAGCGTTTAGAAGGAGAAATCTCGGTAATTACTAAGACCACGGGCATTTTCGACTTCTTCGATTTCCTGGAGAACCCACATTTTGCGCCGAAGGCCGTGCTCTCGGATCGTTGTAGAATTGTTGCCATTGATACCACTGCTGCTGCTGTTCTTGAGTCTGCTGCTGCGGCTGGTTGTAAGGCTGTGGATTCTGAGTCGATGTCCACGTGCTCTGGGGGGCGCAATGCGGCGTTGACTCGTGTTGCGGCTGCGGCTGAGCCGCCTGAGGGTGTGCGGCCCAAGGTTTTTGCGCAGTGTTATAACTCGGAGTGACTCGCGGAGATTCAACCTGGGAGCCGAACCTGCTGCCCGGGGCCTGTTGTGAGGAGGACCATCGACCCGGTACATTGTCGAAACGGCTATTCGATCCCCGCCTGTCAGCACCTCGGTTCCATCCGTCACGGCCAGCCGAATCCCGCGAATCCCTATTGTCATCTCTGTAGTCTCGGCCGTATCTCCGCGACTCCCTCCCACCGCGATCATCGCTTTCATCGTCCCGACTACTGCTGCGATAAGGTTGCTGCTTCCACGAGGCTCTCGGACTCCGATAATCGCTGCTGCCGCCGCTGCATCCTCTTTCACTGCCGTTTCTGTTATACGGTCCAGCGCTTGGCCGCCCGGCATTTGGGTGACCAGCTCTCGCTGACGGTGGATGGAATTGCTGCGGAAGCATACCCCCACGTGCCCAGCGAGCACCGGGGGCATTTGAGGCGTTGCCGCGCATCGGGCCCCAGTTCGAGCCAGGGTGGAAGCCTCCCCTTCCCGAGCCCCTCTGTCTGAAATCGCCGAAGCCGCTCCTGCTGAGAGCGCCGGGTGATCCTCTGAAGAAATTCCGTCGTCCGCCATCTGGTCTATTATGATCAGAATGACTCGGTTGTCGTCTTTTTCTGCGTGGTTCGATGCCCAACTCCTTAGCGGCTTCTTCGTTGTACTTCTCAACTTCTCTCTCAGCGTCATCGCGAGAAAGCTCGGCGAAAGTAAGACATCCTCTGAAATGCGACCCATAGGGCAGCTCGAGGCATGCTGAAAATTCATAATGACTCGTGAGATCCCTCAGGAGTCTGAGATAGATTCGGTCAGCTCGCGTAATCGGTTTGGATCGAATTGGGAGTTGCAATCACGAACCCTTCATTTCGGAAATAGTTTTATCCGACAAAAGATGTTCTTCCGGTGATCTCTTAGCATGCCGTTCTTTCAAGGTTTCCGCTGTCGTAATAAGAATGACGGCTCGCCTCTTGAAACCGTCGAAAAGACGCCATCTGGTCACTTGCACGGAGCCTTTCACGTTCGAATCATCGAGTATGATGTTCCTGTCGGGACAGATAGGCTTATTCGATACGAATCAATATCACCTAAGTTAGGGATTCTCCGTCATTAGGCACGAAGGACGGCTTCAGCTCGGGCAGGAGCACGATAACTGCTAGTTCTCACCTCCGTCTACTAGCTGCGGTCTCTATAAGCTTTGATAAGCAGCTCGTCGTCATTTTCGACAACTCGTCCTCATCACCTGAAAATTTCTTCGCTTCCGGTTTACCCTCGATTATCATCCGATCGAGGATGGTCGAAATACCGAGGACGTTGTAATGCTTCTCAGGATGTTTCTCCACGTGTCGCCGAGCCCAGGTCGATTTGCCTGACGATGGTAACCCGATCATCATGATCAGCTCGCTTTCGCGTCTTGAGTAGGGTGCTATGTCATCTTTCACCCTGTTCGAGGGTTCGGTTTTGAGCGGGAAAATATGTTCGAGCTCGCAGCCCTCCACTGGTAGTGCCTCCGCTTGACCAAGATTGACTTCGACTTTTATATTCTTTGTCAGCACGGCTGGATAGAGAGCACTTATTTTGCCTTCCCCGACATCTGCTTCTGGCTTCTCTCCCTGATCGGTTGATGTAGGTTCTTCTTGGCTCGCTGATCCTTCGTCGTCGGTCTTCTTCTCAGTTCCGCCTGAAGCCGTCGGCGCCGCAAGCACCTGCTGCGATCCCGGTGGGATTTCGAAAGCGACACCGAGATCCTTTCCGTTGTGTGCGAATCTGAGCTCAGCAGGACAGGTGTCGAGATTCAGCATCGAGGAGAATACATCACCTACTTTGAGATCTGGCAACTCCGCGAAGCCTTCGAAATCGCCTCCGGAACCCTTCTTGCCGCTCGAAGACAGTGCCCAGGATTGTTCATCTTCACCCAGTCGAGCACTTTGGTGATCGAGTCGACGGCAGAATCCCACACGGAGCAGATGCTTTTCATCGGAATCAATGTCCACATCTAGGAGCTCCAATACTTTAACATCAAACCTGCAAGAAATCGAGCGGTCACTCAACGTGTTCGTACTAATCGTGGGTATCGATCTTCTCGTTATCTAGCGGAGGCCTCGGAATGTTGTAAAAGCTTCATCAGAAATGCTCGCCTGATCTTCCCCTTGATGAAACCGTGCGAGCACTTCACACCAGCACACATCCACGCGAAATACGATTCCGATAAGGGGACGATGCTCATTGTTTCAGCGTCTATGCTGCAATTGAGATCTGAGGTATACTCGTCGAGCGTTATCGTTGTCCGCTGCTTATCAATCCATTCATTCTTGTTCTCGGCGGCGTTCTCCGAGGCTTTTCTAGAAGGAAGAGAGGCCGGTTGAGCGTTGCTGCCAGAGCCAGTTCCGTGGAAGCGCGACACGTGAACAAAGACGTTCCTGGCCTAGTTGGGAGCACTCACTGCCTTGTCGCCCGAGAACTCGATTCCCTGCCGTGAGACTTCCTCGTGGCATCGATGGCGTCTCCCGCAGTCTCCGAACCCTTGGCCGTTGATTCTGTAGCCTGCCCAAGCTCGCTCGCTGCCTCCCGCGCATCGGGAGCAATCTCGTCCGGCATGGGTACCGGTTTCTCGGCATCTTCTTCGCTCGACCTGGGCGCGGTAGCCTCCTGACTAGTATCGTGTCCCGAATCCAATAGGCTCTGGGAGCTGTTCGCAGCAGATTCAGCTGCTTCAGTTTGTGGCTTGTCCGAATCCAACACTTTGGCGGGTTCTTCGCCAAGGAGCGAGTTCTCCTCTTGATCCGTCAACATTTGCTCAGCAGACATGTTGTCGGCCTCTTTCTCAGTGGGCTGGAATAACAAATCCGGGGAATTAGCGGAGCCCGTTTGAAGAGAGGCTCCTGCCCAGGGCTCTATTGGGGGAGGAACAGTTGCGGAGCTAGCCTGATCGACGCCCGGGACGGATCTCAGGAGTGCCGTCCCTGGTTGGCAACCTCGAATCAATCATTAAAAATGTCACCCTAGATGGGAACTCTCTCGAGAGCAGTTCTGTTGAGTGACCAGTTCGAAACCGGCGCTTCCTGAAATCTGCGCCCCGGACAAGAGCCCTCACTTCCCTTCCGCTACGCGACACGGCAAAGCATATACCTCATCGCCGATGAGAGAAAGAAACATCTTGTCTGTGGTCTCGCTCTGAGCGTCTCTCGAGATATCTTCGTCATTCGAAATGTCTAACTTCTGTCGTTTCGGTTCCACGTCCTCAATGGGAGAAACCGCGGCTCTTCTCACGCCTGTCATGGACTCATCACGATCAGCGACTCCGACCGCTGCTTCTGGCTCTGCGGAATCGACTTCAGCCGTACTCTGTGGGGAAGAAGGGGGATTGATCACCTACTGTCGGTGAAAAATTCTATGGAGAGCCGCGTGTGGTTAGGAGATATCAGTTTGATTCGTTCGTACAACTGACCTCAGGATTTTGCTCCGAATCAGGCGGTTCGGCAGCCGCCGTTTTCCGTTCCTCGTCTAAAATTATTCAAACACTTCAAGATTAGCATTGTCCCCTGTCACGGTGAGAGGAAAAGCATCACAGGGAATCCCAGAACAAGAATGAGCGGGGTTTCTTCTGCCTCTCAGGGCGCGAGCTTCATTCTGAGTGACCCGCATAACGGAAAACGCCCCGGAACACAGATTCGTAAGATCTCCTCACAGTTCTCGGGAACAGACTTGTGGGGCTCGCCTCTCTGAATGATCGTCCTCACTGTTTCATGGATCACTCTTTGCTATTCGAAAAGAATTCGCAGCCTCACTCATCAATAGCTTACCTGAAGGATCGCCGGCTGGTGGAACACTTGGCTCAAGCACGGCACTTCCATCTTCAGTAACACTTTGCCCACTCTCGGTTGAGTTCGTCTCATTATGGGCGACCTCCAAGAGACGTTTCACGAGCACCGCTTTCACCCCTTTAATGTCGAGACCCTTTTCCGCGAGCTTCTCCCTGAGCTTTACCACAGTGAGCTTCAGCAGTTCTTCTTCCATTTCTGGGGAAACGGCACCAAATAGTTCTCCAGATGCACTCAGTTGGCAAAGTCTTCGGTTGACGGTTGCGGCAAATGGCGACCGCCAAGACTGAACTCTTCCGAAAACACACGAGACCGTACTCTTAAACCTCTTCCGAAGATCCCGATCACGTGCTGACACCGTCGAAGGGTTTTGTGAGCACCGGATCGTAGTGAGCGCTTGTTCCTTCAATCAGAAACCCAGTTCCCCGTTCGAACCTGCAACACAGGGTTGTCTGAAAAGCATAGCGGTAATCATACCGACGACGGGCGGCAGTCACACACTGGTCTTGTTTTTGTTTTGCTCCAGTGGATACGCACCGCGAAGGGGGCTCCGTCCCTGATTCGATATCCGAGCTGTAAGCTCTGATTCCCGTAGTGATGTTATCCTGCCCAAGATACCGTTTTTCTCTGCGTGATCCAAGTATGCGAGAAACACATCCGAGAGGAGTACGGGGGTTGAAAATCATGCGGAGCGAAATCTGTTGATAGGACTGGAGGGAGAGAGTGAAAGACCACAACCACAATGATGGTCTCAATGATCTTTGCTGGAGGTTTCGAGACCATCAGGCGTCTCTCCCAAAACTTCGTTCATCCCTGTACGGGTACGGACGAAGAATCTCTAGTCCCAGGGACCAGGCTCTGACCGCACTTGGTTTGCGGGGTCTCCGGGGCCCTCTCTCCCGCTACCCGTCGAATCCGAAGGCTGCTGTTTCCACTTTCCACCCTTAGGATCAATGAATAATATCACCCAGAACGTACGAACTTCCGCGAGCGACCAATGCTGCGACACAACGTGCCACCATCGTTGGGGAGGTCTTAGGGTTCGGTTCTCGAAGCTGGTCGATACTGATTCTTGTTGAGGAACCAGGGCTTAGGGAGTAAGGATTTCTAAGGTATCACTCGTTATCCTCCGTAGATCCTCCTGTGCCTCCGCTGAGGCTGCATCGAACGAAAATAAGCGTCAAGTAAAATGAGCATCGGCGCTGAGTTTGTCCGAGAGCGACAGATGTCGCAATGCGTGAGCGAGAAGATCGGAACATTCGTGGAGCGCATGGAGCGAGTATCTTTCTCCGCTCTCAAGCCACAGATCGAGGCTTATTAAAGTCACGCATGACGCATGAGACATTAGGCCGTCGATTGCTCCAGACAAGACAAGGTACCAGTCGGCGAGTAGTGATGCTGATGAGCGCATTTTTCGGATTTCTGTCTGGATTCGGTCTGCTACTAGAGTGGTTTCGGTTTCGAATCCGATCGGTCTTTTCCGCCGCAGGCGTCCTGCTCGAGGTGCACACGCCATCATGAAGGTGAAATTTCCACATTTTTTTAGTGTAACTGTGTCTCTCCTTGAGTGATATCCCGAGGCTTTTGCCCCCCACCCATCGCTCCCCCGACCTGACTTGAAGTTTCTCGATATTTCGCTGTTCTCTCCGTGATTTGGACAGATTCGGCTCTACCCCTGATATTTTTCTCTTCTATCCTCCATACATCATACATCACGATTGCGATTCCTTGTATATCGTGATCCGTGTTGTGCTTGCTCAACCTGTCCGAGGGAATCACGGAGTTGATTTCGCTCGCACGTTGACTTCATGAGGGAGGCTGAAATCCTTGTTTTCACAGCTCAACATAAGCTACCCAGCCACGGGATGTCAGAAACTGATCGAAATCGATGATGAGAAGAAGCTTCGTCCATTCTACGAGAAGCGGATGGCTCAGGAGGTCGAAGCCGATTCTCTCGGCGACGAATGGAAGGGGTAAGCTCGCCGGCAAGCATATGTATCACTTGTTTTCTTATCCTCCCGTCCCGTGTGGCGGCTCTCGCGTTCGGAGCATTCGTCCCGCTGCAACCACGTGGCTTTCAGAATGACACGACAGATGAGCTGATTTGGTGCTACTCCAGAGGGAAGGAGTCTTTCTGATGAAATTGTCTCAGATCTGTCTGCCAGCGGTCCCATAGCCTCAATGACGAAGAGACTCAATTCCGAATCGAGTGCTGTCGTCCATGTTTTTTCCGTGGAGCCTTTCTCTAGAGTCCGCTTGACTTCTCTGCCATCCACATAACGCCGATGATTCCCTATCCTGTGAAGTAGATCCGCGTGTGGCTCCTCACAACCGACCGATCGAGTCCTGAGAGCTTTTGCGCGACTCTTACGGGAAAACGGGAATCTTGCATGATGAAAGCCTGTCGCAAGCTTGGTCTGCAGAAGTGACGTCCTTTTGATGATCTCTTGAAACCCACAGCTTCGGCATGCTCGACGCATACGGCTAGAGCTGCATCCGTGCGGTTGGGCGCTCTACCCAGAAGAATGTCCGCTCCTGGGCTTCTGCCGGATGTACTCTCAGATCGATGGGGATACCTCCGGGCGGTCGGAGGCTCAGCTCGTTTGGAGCTTCGCTTGCAAACGTGCAGTACATTTAATCAGGAGCCGCGAGGACGCTGCCGCTCGCGCATGAGTGAGGGGGCTGCAATCTCCGCGGAAAACCGACTCGCGGGTACCCGAAAACGACGCGATCGAAAACATTTGCTCCCGGTATCCGTCCTCGGGAGCATGACCTGATCGGGGATGCCCGGGACTTCGAAGCACGGCTACGTGGCCCTGCTGGGAAAATTCATTCAAGGTCTCCTGATAAGTTCGGCCTAGAGCTATCTGCGATCCAGGATCGTAGCTGCAAGGACGAAAAGACATTGATCCCTTATCTTCGATGACTGAGAGCGAAATCTTCGAGCGGATCTATCGATGACATCAGTCGCGAGTGTATAGAGGAATCCTCATTATTCGCTTATGAGCGCATCCGGCGTTTCCGCTACCCCCGGATTCGAAGTCCTTCCGAGACTGACAGGGTTGAATCTTCTTTCCAGCTACGTGTTCCGTATCACTGGAGGAAACGACAAGCAAGGTTTCCCCATGAAGCAGGGCATCCTCTCCAATGGTCGTGTCCGGTTGCTCTTGTCCAAGGGCCATAGTTGCTATCGTCCACGTCGGAATGGTGAACGCAAGAGGAAGTCTGTGCGGGGATGCATCGTCGACTCCAACCTCTCGGTTCTTTCCCTAGTGGTTCGTAGGAAGGGTGAGGCTGAGATCGAGGGTTTGACCGATAAGACCGTTCCCCGTCGACTTGGTCCCAAGAGAGCCTCGAAGATCAGGAAGCTCTTCAACCTCTCGAAAGAGGATGATGTAAAACAGTACGTCGTCCGCAGGCCAATCACCCCGAAGGAAGGTGAGCTCGCTTAGTTCAGTCATCGGTTGCCGCCACCATCACATTCATGCCCGCTGCCGTTGAGTTACGCTGCAATAGACCTAATTGTCGGCGTCAATTTGGTGCCGGAAGAATAAGATAGTGCTCCACACATGACTGCTTTGAGATGGCATTCGTGTACTAAGAGCCTATGACACTATCCCGTCCCTCCACGATTCATGTAGCGACAATCTCTTTCATCCGATCCGATTCAAACCTCTGCTCTACCGACCCATTCTTCTCTTACATGAATATTAAGGTCTGATGAATAAACACTACGTTTCGTCTTCTTAGGATCTGAAGGGAAGCTGAAGAAGCCCAAGACCAAGGCACCCAAGATCCAGCGTCTGATAACGTCGCAGATGCTCCAGCACAAGCGCAGGAAGATCGCCCTCAAGAAGGCACGAATCGCTCGGAAGCAAGAGCAACAGGCTGAGTACGCCAAGCTACTCGCTCAGCGTACCAAGGAAGCGGCCGACAAGAAAGCCGAGCTCATTCGCAAGAGGAGATCGACTCGGGAATCGCAGTCTTCAGCGGATAGCGCCCCCGCCAAGAAAGCCAAGGCGACTGTTGAAGTTCTGAAGAAGGACATCAAACCTCAGGCCAAGGCTGCCGTGCCTACGGCGCCTGCTAAGGGCAAGCCCGCAGCACCCGCTGCGAAAGGCAAAGATGTCGGCAAGAAGGGAGCTCCTGCCCCCCCTGCCGCGAAGCCCGCCGCTAAGTCTGCTCCAACGACCGCTCCTACCGGCAAGAAAACCGCTGCGCCCGTCCCAGCGAAGGAGGCTCCGAAAAAAGCCGCTGCTCCGGCTGCGAAAACAGCAGCGTCAGCATCTAAGAAAGGAGGTGCTAAGAAAAAGTGAAAACGAGTTGTTGGACGGGAAAATAAATGAATGCCCCTTTCGAATAATCATCGTGATCATTCTCGGCGAGGCAACGACTCATTTCCTCATGAGTCCTTCTTCCCCCATTCGTACACGGCTTGTGGCTCGAATTGCTCCTCTTACGTGCCCGGACGATTCCCCGATTACGTTCATGCGGTTCCCTCTTGAAGCAATGGTCATTTCGCCGAGTCCAATCCACCGGATGTCGGGTGATTCAGCTCATATCCACGAGATCCGGCAAACTCGATATTTTAAGGATCTATCCATTCGTATTCCCGCCTATAGATTGGAGCCGGGAACGGATAGAACGACGGGAATTTATATAGCTTGGGGTGGAAATGCATGAACGCGCATGTACCTATGTTATGTATGTAGATCTGATGTACCGATAATCGCGCTTCCTGGAGAGTGACCCGAGCCTCCCAATTAGCTCGCATCAGCGCTAATCTACTCGAATTCGAGTGACCCCGAGCACCGTTCACAGCGAGGAATCATTCCCCAACATAGGCCTCTGGATCCCGAAGTCCGAAACGGTCTAGCAAGAGTCTCGCTGCGTTCCCGAGATGAAGTCGCGCGGGATTTCGCTCAGAGAGAGCACACAAAGTTCTTAAAATGCAAAAAAGGCAGGGGGTTGGGCCTTTGTCGTGCTGGGGGCAGATGATCAGCACCAACATGGAGCTCTATGATATGGAAAGAGGTCTTGAGAAGAAATGTTTCAAGAGAAGGGGGCTTGGCCCCTTGCCCCTCTTCCACTCGGCACGCCTTGTGATGAGGTGTGCTCATTCCATGCAGACCGCGGAATCGCGAACAGAAGCCAAAATTGTAAAGTATGCGGGAGGTGTCGCAGGCAGCGAAATTATCGAGTCCCGGATCAAACAAGCTCGTCATCCACGGAACTTTGTTGGGCCTTCCCCAGGGAAGGGAGTTACTGAGTTTGTGTTGCGCGTTTTTTTCAGATTCCATCGCTGCTCTTTTGGAAAACGCAAACCGCGAGACGATCTGTACCACCTCTCTGGAAGCTCACGAAGACTGGTTGGCTCATCTCCAGACAACATCCCGATGACTTTTCTTCCGCTTGTGACCAAAGTCGATGGCGTGCCTAAAGATCATAGAGTCCTCATCTCATTTGCCTTCTTTGCAGTCTACTCTTCGAGATACTTCGATATAGATCTTTGGCTGCCTAGTAGGCACTGCTCCGTTCAATATCAGAAAGTGAATCTGATTGATTGCAAGATTCACGGGTTTTTCGCACCGGAGGATCGCCTGTTTTTGCGGCACGCTCTCCCCGAAGTGAGTCGCTGCCGACGGGGGAGTCCTATGATGCAGATGGATTCAACGGTCTACGAGGTTGTGGGCTGGACCCTCACTGCGTAGATGTCGATAGCGAGGCTCATACAGATGATCGAAGAAAATGAAATCGTTGGCTTTTATTGTTCCGGAAGCATTATTTTGGCCGACTGCCTTCTTTCTCGAACACCTCCCCGCATCTACGGAGGCAGCCGAATGGCGCCAGAGAAGCCTCCGTAGATGAGAGGGGAGATCTTCTAGCAGAGCCATCCGCTCACAGAATGCGCCGGAGAAGAAGGTTCGGCTGTAAGCGGCTGACAGCGTATGCTCCCGCTGCCTTATGAGTCCCAGCTGAGCAGAATCAGCCGTCACACAGCGCTCTATCAGATTCGTCGGTTGGCGTTTCGCGAGCGTCCGAGTGAAACTTCCCCACAGGGCTGTCACGGAAGGAAGTGGGCGCCGGCGGTGCTGATTTGCGCAGGCTCTGTGGTCGAGGTGCGTATCCGGGAGAGATCATCTGCTCGGCAAGGCAACGAACTCAGCGAAAAACCTCGAATTCTTCGGTGATGTGGAGCAGATTCCGACCAACACGAAATCGGTGACTAGTTCGGTGTCGGAATAAAGCTCATTGATATGAGGAGGCGGGCGGCACATTACGGTATCGCATCGAGCCCATGTCATGCGTCTTACTCCACATCCGTTGAAGTTTCGTTTTCAAGCAGATTGGGAATCACAAGAAAATATTGGTTATGTCACTTATCACCGCAGCGTGCGCCGTAAATCTGCAAACCGCGCCAGATACGATAAGAGTCTCGCCTCGACTGGGATCAGCAGCGACACCACGGTCCTCCTTCGAACTGTGACGACTCCGAACAACCGAAAGTGTTCTGTAAATCGAATGTTCGCGCCGAGCTCCGGTTTCGGGAAGAAAATAATTCAGAGGGAAACTCCGATGCAAAATGTTCCGTCAAAGGGCGGTATATTTCAAGGCCTACAGATCTTACTGCACCTCAAAGCGACTGAACGAAGGTTAGTTCGCCGTTGTGATCGAATGGAACCGTCTATCGATGAGCTCTAGAAGACCCCGGCTAAGATTCGAGCGATCTCCACAAAGTAGGAATAAAAAAGCACTCTAAGTTCGAGAAGATATTACCTCTCCCTAGTGCTGGGTATCGGCACCTCGAAGAGCACGAGGCACCGAGTATTGGAGTCCTATTGGGTTTTTCTATGATCAGCTTCCGCGTCCACGTCATCGACCAACTCGCCGTCCTCTCGTTCTTACCTTCATACGTCTCTATCGCTTCTCCTTCATTGAATTCTCCCGGTACCCGAGCTCTGAAGAACGATGCGATTAACGCATCCACGAATTCTCTGTTTCCGTGTCTCTTCCTAGACGATGCTCGCATACAGCGCTTAGCCACCGCGATCCGGCAACACGGTCATCGACACGCTAACGTCAATCCCCTCGGCAGCGTCAAAGCGACGCTTCAAGAACCGTGAGTAGGGAAGCTGAAAACCGATGTCGAGTCTACTGCATTCGATTTGAGCCGTTCCCCTAACTAACAATCTCTTCCTTGGTCTAAGAGCTGCAGAAAAAATCGAGCCCGAGGATTTTGGCTTGTCACGGGACACCCTCCTGGACTATGCAGGGCAAACTGGGACCGTTGACGAGTGGTATAAACGCATGCTCGCCATTTATGGGGGAAACATCGGACTGGAGTTTATGCACCTCGTGAGTTCCCTAAGATATTCTCACCTCACACAGGAACTCGACTCGACCTGCCTTCTTCTTCCCATTTTCACCTTTTTCCTCGACATCCAGGACCGAACGCGGCGTGATTGGTTCATCAAATCCTTAGAGCGGGACCTCTATCTATCGGCAACTCCGACGAAAGAGTTCCAGAAGCAGATCCTGAGAGCTCTTCTCGAATCTCAGAATTTCGATCATTTTGTAGCCAACAAGTTCGCCACGACTAAACGTTATGGGGGAGAGGGGGCTGAGAGCATGCAAGCCTTCTTCTTGCAGTTATTCCTGCAAGCTCCGATAAGTGAGTGAAGTGTCTTGATTTCTTATGAATTCCCCATCCCCGCACAAGGAATCTAATACGGCGCTTTTCGGCTTGATGAGCATCTCACAGAGACTCGGAATATTTCTCCTTCAGGCGGCATAACAGACCTCATAATCGCGACACCCCACCGAGGCCGGCTGAACCTACTGACGGGACTTCTCAATTTCCCTGTCGAAACAGTTTTCCGCAAGATGAGAGGATTGCCCGAGTATGAAACATTCAAGCATCCAAGTGCTACCGGGGACGTTTTGAGCCACTTGTTCACCTCCACAGAAGTTCAAGTTCGTCCCTGAGCAGTTCATTACGTATGGAATGATGCCATATACGATATTGTACGACCGAAAGTACGAGACATATTCCGATTCGGACGGGCAGAAATCTTTCTCCTCATTCACACATCAACAACATCGACATCCGAGACTCATCGATGTGATTGAGGTTCCGTTATTTTCCCGTGATTCGGGCAATTAACGGACGCACGACAGTCGCGACCGACGTTCCTGTGAGCGAAGGATCCTGTCTGTCAGCGTCTACGCGTATTGACCCGAACCGAAGTCTGAACATCGTGTTTTCAGGGGAACTTGCGCGTGAGTTTGCTCCCAAACCCCTCTCATCTTGAAGCTTCCGCTCCGATGGCCGTGGGCAAGGCCCGCGCGCGTTTACAACAGCTTCTGGGAAACGATCGCTACAGCTCGCTCTGCAATTCGACTGATTATCACAACTCGTGGGTTTTGCCGCTTCAAATCCATGGGGATGCCTCATTCGCCGGCCAAGGTGTCATTATGGAGACTCTCCTTCTATCTGGGCTCCCGCATTTCAAAACAGGGGGATCCTTGCACCTCATAGTGAATAATCAGGTCAGTAAGTTCGTGGAACAATCGGTGGACATCCTTGAAATGACTCGATCAATTTGCCTGTGCATAGTACCGTGAGCTTGGCATCTTCCGTATTTGCGGAACATGCACGCAGAGAATCGAAAGCCGTGAAAACTTAGGGCGGAGAGACCCGGTGACTGAAGGCACCCTACATAGGCAAGGTTTGATACTGAGTTGAGCGTCGGGCGCAGAAAACCTGCTGCACTATCTTCGATAGTATCGGAAACCTGATATCTCCGTCGAATAGTCGGAGTGTTGGCCTGCCGCTTGAGCCCTCCTCGAAGACCATGGGCATGTATGGACTGTTGATTGGCTTCTCCGCACGAAGCCGTCGAAACTCAGGACATTGTTCAAACATTCCTGAGGCGGCGGAACGGGACCTGCCGTTCATGGGTGATAGCAGCATCCACGTGGGAAACAGGGCGAGAACACCGCGCGAAACTCCACACAGTTTACCGGAGAGCCGACCGGGAGAAGAGGGTGGGTTGTCGTCTCGATGCCCTCGCATCCTGCACTAGGAATAGCGATAATTCACCAATTTCGGGTGTAGGCCCTCTTGACCGAGCCTCCTCGGGCCCGATGAGCGGTTGGTCCGACTGACCGGAGTGAACACCACATTCGAGAATCCGGATTCCGGTCCGATTAAGCAGAGGGTACGATCATCCGTCCCACGTATCCTCAGGTGGCTCTCTTCCGAGATCCTCCGGATAGGGCATTCTCTGCAGTCAGAGGGAGTGCTCAGAGTGCTTCTTGGTGGGAGCTATAGCGAATGTTCCGACCGAACTCAAGTGAAACAGCTAAGCATTAGGAGTTTCCACGTTCTGTGGGGATCCAGAGTCGAAATCGGACCGAATAGACCAGCTTTTCTCATACTTTCCCGATCCCTCCTCACTGATTGTGAGCGAAATCCCTGTTCGAAAGAGAGACTGGACTTGAGGACACAAGAGTCACCGCATTGAAGTTTTCTACCGTTCATTCTTTGAATCATAGGTCGATGAGATGAATATGTCACGATCCGCTGGATACTTCACAACTAAGAATTGGTTCCATAACTTCATCGTATGAACATCTCACATGAATTAGTGCAATCTTTGTCGCTGCAGATCGTCCAGATGCGTTCAATACGTATTCCCGTTGATTCATCGCCGCGGCGGTGAAAAGATGCTCGATAGCTCCGGGGAGACCTCTGAGGATCCCCCCGGGGAAGACGGGAGAAGGAGAAGACGGGTGAAGGGAAAGACGGGTGAAGGGAAAGACGGGTGAAGGGAAAGACGGGTGAAGGGAAAGACGGGTGAACGGGAAGACGGGAGAACGGGGAGACGGGAGAACGGGAAGACGGGAGAACGGGAAGACGGGGGAACGGGAAGACGGGAGAACGGGAAGACGGGAGAACGGGAAGACGGGAGAACGGGAAGACGGGAGAACGGGAAGACGGGAGAACGGCAAGACGGGAAGACGGAAGAACGGGAAGCGGAAAAACGCGAAGACGGGAGAATATGTCACGATCCGCTTGTTACGTGACAACTAACAATTCGTTCCATAACTTCATCGTATGAACATATCACAAGAATTACTGCAATCATTGTCGCTGCGGATCGTCCAGATGCGTTCAATACGTATTCCCGTTGATTCATCGCCGCGGCGGGAAAAAGTTGCTCGATAGCTGTGGGGAGACCTCTGAGGACCCCCGGTTTAGAGGGGAAGAGGGGAAAACGGTAGAACAGGGAGACGGCTGAAAGGGAAGACGGTAGAACAGGGAGACGGCTGAAAGGGAAGACGGTAGAACAGGGAGACGGCTGAAAGGGAAGACGGTTGAAAGGGAAGGCGGGAGAGGGGAAAACGGGAGGAAGGGAAGACGGGAAGACGGGAGAACGGGAAGACGGGAGAACGGGAAGACGGGAGAACGGGAAGACGGGAGAACGGGAAGACGGGAGAACGGGAAGACGGGAGAACGGGAAGACGGGAGAACGGGAGAACGGGAAGACGGGAGAACGGGAGAACGGGAAGACGGGAGAACGGGAAGACGGGAAGACGGGAGGACGGGAAGACGGGAAGACGGGAAGACGGGAGAACGGGAAGACGGGAAGACGGGAGAACGGGAAGACGGGGAAGATTAGGTCACTATCAGAGCACCCGCGGAGCTCGACGGAAAGGAATCATCCGAAACGCTTTTGACTGCGGAGCGTCTTTCAAGGTGGGTTATACGACACCAACTATGCTTGGCAAATCGTCTTTCTACAATTCGGATGTGATGAAGACAATCGGCGCGCCAATCCTTCACGTAAATGGTGATCATCCTGAAGCAGTTTGCACGGTCGCTCAACTTGCTCTCGACTACAGGTGAGCTTTCGGAGGGAAATAGTCTGTATTGTGATCATCATGGGGAATCTGAGTGGCTCGACCTCGCTGGATAGAGGAAGTAGTACGAGAATCGCCTTTCCAGACAATGTTTCGGAGGGGATGTTTTGGTTGACATGTGGTGCTTCCGACGATGGGGACACAACGAGATGGATGACCCAACTTTCACGAACCCCGTCATGTATAGAGAAATTCGCTCGCGCGGGTCTGTTCCGGATCTTTACGCAAGCAGGCTGGTGGTAGGTGACACGGGAATACAAATCAGCCGAGTTTCATGCCCGGTCATTTTAGCCCACGGGGGCTCAGCCCGTCGAGTCTCACAAGACATCCTCTCTCGCCAGGCCGAGGGCGTCGTCACTGAAGCAGAGGTGGAGAATCTGCTCGAGAGCCATTCACGCATCCTAAATGATGGTTTCAAGAGACTCGAGATCACTCAGGCGCAATCGCAATGTTTCAACGGTAGATGGAAGTCAATGGGAACGGCTCCCCGAGATGCACTCTTGACCGTTGACACGGGGTTCCCGAAGGACGTTCTCCAATACATCGGGCTGAAGTCCGTGGAAACTCCGGAGAGTTTCGTGAGTTGGATAGCGACTCCTTCCAAAGCTTCAGAATCAGTTTTCGCCTAAAACAGAAGAAGGTGTCTGAAGACCTCTCAAGAGGATGTCCCGGACTCGGCTCTCATTCGCTCGTCTTCTTTGCAGAAAGTTCATCCCCACCTACGGAAGGTTGTGATAAACGAGCGGACGAGAAAATTCACCGAAGGACAAAAACTAGATTGGGCTATGGCAGAGTTGCTTGCTTTCGGATCTTTGCTCTACCAAGTTAGTGCTCGTGGTGCGTCCTCCCTCACGGTGTTGAAACGCGTCAAGTCTCTAACGCTCTGATCCACTCGCAAATCTCAGGGATACAATGTTCGTCTCTGTGGACAAGACGTGGGACGAGGCACATTCAGTCAGCGTCATATTGAGCTTGTCGATAACGATACCGAAGACCGCATCATCACGCTGAACAATTTGAGACCCGACCAGGGTTTCCTTGAAGTCGCCAACTCGCCGCTCAGCGAAGAAGCTGTGATGGCTTTCGAGTACGGATTCAGTCTAGAAAGTCCAGAAAACCTCGTCATTTGGGAAGCGCAATTTGGTGACTTCCACAACAGCGCCCAGGTGGTGTTAGACACTCTCATTACCTCGGGCGAACGGAAATGGCTCTTACAGAGTGGGGTCATTATCCTACTCCCCCATGGGATGGATGGAGCCGGACCAGAGCATTCATCGTGCCGCATCGAAAGATTCCTTCAGGCGAGTACGATCATCATTATCAGCAGTATCGACAGCCGTTTAACCAGTCCGGAATGGCCATCGTTTGCGAGCCTTGGCCTCAGAAAACCTGTCCTCTCTATCAACTCTGACTTCTTATCGTCCTCAGATGTGTGACAGCAATGAGCAGGACATGCCGGATTCTGAAGACGTGAATTTTAGATTTGTAAATCCGACGACCTCGGCCCAATACTTCCATCTTATCAGACGACAGATGCTGACAAACTTCCGGAAACCACTCATCGTTGCGTCCCCGAAACTAATCTTGAGATTAGACGGAGCTTCCTCGTCGCTTGAAGAAATGGCTACTGGTATGGTGATAGGGACTCCGACTTTCATGCACAGCAATTCGTGCCGAAGAACTCGCTTAGAACGCCGGACCCATTTCAGGAACCTCATTCCAAACAGTGTTGACCTCCAGAGAGGACAGCGACCGCAGCGCTGTGAGACGGATAATTTTATGCAACGGTAAACATTACTTCGCGCTCGAATCGAAGCGGAAGATCAAGAAGCGGAACGACGTCGCCATCGTGCGCCTCGAACAACTGTGTCCTCTGCCCGTGGCGCGCATAGCGGAAACTCTTTCCACATACCCGAACATGAAGGAAGTGGTCTGGGCCCAAGAGGAACACCAGAATCAGGGAGCCTGGTCCTTCATCAATCCTCGCATCAGGAATTTCCTGAACATTCAGGTGATTCACATTGATTTGTATCCGATACGCAGAGCCGGAAGCACGGATGCATTCGCGCCTGGAGTTTGCTCATTCGATTTCCCTACCTACCCTCCAGATGCTATACCGTGGTAGAGGACCCCTAGGAGTGCCCGCTGTGGGCGTCGGCGCCGTTCATGCGGCCGAAGCAGAATCAATCCTGGAGTCGGCGTTCGAATAGCTTGGGAGTCCGAAGAAAAGGGAAATTTCCATAAATTCACCATTCCCGGGAACTTTCATCGCTCATTCTCTCACGAAGATTTTGAAGACGATTGGACTTCGACGCCGCTAAGCCCGACCTGTGAACAGAGCGGCCTGGAAACTTTTCCTCCATGTTCCTGCAGGCCGACTAGTAGTCTACTGATTCCCCAGCTGGAGTCCTGAAGGTCTCGAAATCTCTTGCCAAGTTCAGTATGATGGAAACGTAGCGATCACCATAGCAACGTTTACCCTTAACGAAATACCTATCTCCCATGATCTACGCAAGTCCCCGGATATTCGTGAGTCTGAGTCGGGAGTCGAGCCGGCTTGAGAGGAATGATGGCGACGAATAAAGCTGTGCTTCATTGGTCCGGCTGCACGCTCTACAATCAGGTAGTTTCTCCTGAATGGAGTAGCAAATCATCAAGCGTCGGAGATACGATCCATCCTGTTCAGAGTTTGGAGCTCTAACTCCTCCGTGGCACTTCCGACCTTGACTCCCGTTCTCTGCGAATGGAAATCGGAATCAGTTTCTCGTTTAATCTCGAATAACTCCCGGAAGCCGCCATTAAGAGTCGAGACCGAGAATGAAGCTCTGCGCTTGAAGGCATCGATCGCGAGGTCCTTCAATATTCGACTCATAAACGCTGATTGCGGGGAGTTTGACGGCTTCCGGATCGTACGTTTTTCGCGGACTCCAGATGATGGTTATTCGCCTACTTGCTGATACCCGATGAGACACCTGCTCAGAGCTGCTCCTTCACTCCAAACAGCTTTATGCAGTGAGCCTCCCGCTCATTTTGGAGCAAGACCTTGCCCAGAACTGATCATCGCCGTCTCACTCGATTCGAAGTAGCCCCTCAGACTTCCTCGCCTCAAGACTGTCTGGAGAACTTATTAGGCAGGTACAACGATCCGTCTAATGATGACCTCTCCTGCGCTCTTCACCAGTCTTCTATCAACACATAGGTACCCGAAGCCTTCTCCTCGCCTCCACGGAAGTCCTCGCCGTTTCCATCCTCTTGCTGGTCCCGAACGCATCATTTTCCCTACGTCTGACCTGTTGGCGCCGGCCCCCCCGCAGTAACATAGTACATACCATCCTTTATACCTTCTTATCCGAAAATGAACGTTCCCGTTTGGGGAAAAAGGTTTCGCAGAGCTCTACTATCTGGAAAATCTATCCTTGCTAGTCCGGAAAGCTTCTCTCCTCGGTGCCAAACGATGGGCACCTCATCGGAATTCCCGCACGAGCCATGCACCTCTGCAGCCCCGAGCTTGGTTGAACCCCACCTGGCGTACCCGCGGACATCGTAATGGAGACATAAATGGGAGTCCAGTCATAGACCCAGTCGGACGGCTCCGCGGCGCCATTGGAGGACAAAAAAGCGGCGAGCGGTGCTGCTCCTTTCCGGCCAGCTCGCCTTCCGATTCTCCCTTGAAACTTCGTTTGCCGACTCCTCCCACGCTGATCTACTCCCGGGATAACCGGCCCCCAATCGTTTGCACCTGCAACTTTTTGCATCTAGCGGCATCCAAGCTGATATTTTTTTCTAGACTCCCCTCTTCTTAGAGAGTCTGACCGACCACCTCTTCGCGGCACTATCCAGCTCCGGGCTTTTTTCGGCGGAAGTTTGAAGAATGGCGTTTTTTCTTGCCATTTCGCGAGGATTCCTACACGGTGGCGCGCGAACCGATTTCGACGGGAAGATCCGGAACCGCCGCAGATTTTCTCGGGCTTCGTGAAGGTCCCGATCTCGACCCGATCCGACCTGCTTAATACTGCCTCGACCGAACTGCGACAGAAGTTTTCCTGTCCTCCCGTCTGGGGTTCCCGCATGTATAGCCTCAACAGCTTGTTAGAGACAGCACGTCGAATTCTCCCATCCCACGGAAGCTGCCCATCATCGGAGACTGGGCTCCCATTAGAGCATCTACATTATGTACCGTATGAGAATCTTTGTTCACCCCTCGAGAGTACCGAAGTCCTAGAAATGATCAAACCGTAATTATTGAGTAGTCTCGAGCGCGAACATATCCTGCGCCGTGGCCCGTGACAGACTCCGCGTGGAAACGATTCAGTGACTGATGAGTGAGAGCGGATGTCACGCGTGAGCTGCTCGAATTCTTGTCTCACCGCTCCCTCTCCACAAATGCTGCCGGATTTGAGAGTCGAATCCGAGAGAAGTACGAGCAATGCGCAGGCGCAGCAACACCTAGGAGCAGGAGCGCCAGCATCGGCAGCGGCCCGCCAAAAGGCTACGGCATCGCGGCTCCGGAATCAACAGCACCGTCGATTACCGCACAAAATGGTGCGGCAAGCCCAGAAATACGCGTGTGCACATTAGACGACTGCGGCTCTCCCCTTCGCCCCGGGCCCGTTTTGACCGTGTAAACGAACTCCGAAATCGACTCCCCTTTCGCGAGGGTCGTCATGGCTTGTCTGGGGCCTGATTCCCCTTCATGGGGGAAGGGAACGCCCATTCCCTCTCTCCCTCATGCCTTCGCCTGGAAGTGGGGCAGGAAGATTCGCGGACTGGTCAGTCCCGATTGCGCCAATGGAAGTCGCCAGATTGGAACGATCAAGCCAAAGCGAGGGTAGTCGGCGAGTGGTACGCCAGCCAGTGCATTTCGCACTCTGAGCCCCATGGCGTTCGACGATTGACGAGAGGGGAGAGATAGCAGTCTGATAGCCGCTGTGACAACCGAGCTACGGAAGCGGATGAGTTCTCAGTTGATCGACAGCTCCGATCTTTGCTCACTTCCTTCATTTCAGAGGCACCGACAGTTACAGATGGACCTCGTGTGGAAAGTGTAAGCTTTAGAGGTGGTAAGGCCGACAGGCAGATAAGCCGATTGCGCACCAATACGCGGACGTGAGCGACGTCGCTGATTGAATTCGTCTGCCGCAACGAGGGTGTAGGGAGGAGGCCTCCTGCGTGCTTGCTGCGCTCTGCTGGCGGCGGCATCGATGATGATTATGGCGATGACGCATGCGCATATATTCTCCTTGAGCTCACAGACAATCTGAGAGTGAGCACGAGGCTCCTCGCAGGCACTGGGAGAGAATTCATCGTCAACACACCAAGCGAAAAAAGGAATCGAGCGAAAGAGTCCAAAATTCTCGAGATCAAATGTTCTTCGGGAATATCATATCGTATGAAAACCGACGACGCGTCTTGATCAGATCAGAAGTTTGTCACGGTGCATGGCTAGCCATGACGGCGAGTACGGACCCCGCGCATCCCGGACAGGACTTTTCATAAACGCGAGCACACACTCAGTATGAAGGCTTCTGAAGTCAGCTCACATGAGTTGTTTCAATTCGAAACGTTTGAGTACGCTAAACGTTCTGGGAAGCTCGGGAAGATTGAAAAAGCAGAGACGATTCGACTCTCCAACATCTTCCCCTCTTTTCTTGGCAGAATTGTAAATATGAATAATACTGCGACACCTGGGCGATTCGGGTGAAGATCGGAGGAAAAAAGTGCTCCTATCAATTATGGTGTCTGCTGACATTGATGTGCTAGCCCGACCGCCCTCTCAGCCTCTTCTCCTCGTAGTGCTCTTGTCGGCCCTTTCCCTGCAGCGTGTGGCGACGGCGGTGGTGGTAGTTCTCCTCCCTCCCCCGGAGTCTTCGTCCCTAGGAGACTCTCAAACTTAGTAATTCGAATGCCGTAGCTGACGACGGCTAGGAGCGGCGCGAGCTGCTCCCGTGACCATTGAGGAAACCACGATTACATCGGATACTGTTGGGACGGCTGCACCGACAAGAACCTAGGCTGTGTCGAACTAGCATCGCCAGTCATAAGAACGGCGACGGCGGAAGGGATTAAGTGGCTGGAGTGGCCGCCCATCGAAAGAATCGACCCCAGCTCCCGGATATACTTGGAATCTTGGATAAATCCCTTTTTGTTGGCATCAGACGCGGTGTCAATTCAGGGGAATCGGATTTCTGTGGTGCGAGCTCTCATCGAAGACCATCATCGGCTGCCTAGAAATCTTAGAGACACACCACAAGGACCTTAAGGTGGCTCGTACTCAAAGCTACATTGTACCCCGCCTATGAAGTAGCCAGTGATTGAGCAGCGACCTTTTTCTCTGAGGTAAGGAACGGAAAGTCTACTTCCGCGAACGATCCTTTTCGAATCGTATGTAGAAATTGGAACCACTATCGTCAATTCAGGGGGTGCGAATAAGCGTGCGGAAAGGTTACGAAAGCGTCACTGCGCAGTACGGAAGCGTTTACTCCTTCTGCGGGAGCCATCTCTCATCGTCGCTGTCCCTCCATGCGGCAGTCTCGATATTCCGTCGACACATTCCCAGGGTGGACTTCCGTTCGAACGGGTCTTACATAATTTTATGCACGGCGTGATTCCTGAGACAACTTCAGTTAGCAGCGCGGAGAGAAGGAAAACGGGCCGTCCGTCGCGTTCCACGCGTGGCAACCCGGCGGCAGGCCAACAGAGCGCGAATCTCCAGTCTACGCTCGGAAACAGCTGTTCCCGTTCTTGGCGTCCATTTCAATATGTCTCATTTTCCAGTGAGTCTTCTCTCTGATATGGAAAGTAGTGAGAATTCTTGTCGATTGCTCCCCTAGTCGAGACAACCGTTCTCTGGATTACTTCCTCAAGACACGGAAGCATAAGCCTCCTCTTTCTGACAGCTCGCTGCCTCATAGGTAAGCTGCAGTGGTCGAGCGAATATTTTGTATTGGTGAGAACACTTACCTTACCTTACCTGCTGTGCGCTATCGTGACCGTGCAGTGCAACGCCCGCCTGGATTGGCCGGACGTAAACTGGTTCCATCGCGAGACTCAAATGGCGGAGCGATCGAAGACAAAAGCGAACTATGTAGTAGAGAAGTACAATGTTCTACTGATGCCTTGCCGCGCGGATTCCTTCGAGGCTACGCAAGCGATACCCATTCGATCACTTGACCTTGAAATATTCGACGGCTCGTTGCGAGACTTACAGATGGGGAACTTTTGAATCATGAAAAACATGGGAGGCCGATGGAAATGTATCCGGTTCAGATGAATCAACCTATCAATCGATCGAGCCATCGATACGAGCGGTCGTGAGAGAAGAGGGAGCCGAATAAGCTTTGTGATATTGCTCCTGATGAGGTTTTCGTCTGTGCTCCGCACAGAAACCCTAGCTGCTCTGCCGTACCGGAATCTTGATCTCAGAGTCATTACGGGACTAGAAGCTGGGTTATGAAACGAATATTTGGTCGTCGCCGGGCTCTTATGCCATGAAGGTCATCCACCACATCGGAAAGGATAACCAACGA